CCAGCGCGGACCGTGGTGGGGTTGGCCTTCGGGCTGGGGGGTTCGCCCCCAAACCCCTAGCAAGCAAGTAAGAGCGTACCAAACAGCAAAGGTCATCTCCATGTACTCTGTGTACACTCCTGACGTCCACCTCCGTATCCCTCCTCCGTTTCCTTTGCCTTCGCCTCTCCCTCACCCTCCCTCCTTTCCCTGGTGTCCCTCTCTGTCTGTCTCCTCTCCGTACCTCCTTGACGATTGGCGGCGCGGTCTAGAGTTCCAGCTCCTTGGTTCTCAAGCCGACTCTAGGACCCAGTGCCCTCTGTACCCAAAACCCAGTCCTCCACCTTGGTTGTCCGAGGGTGAATGTCAAAGAAAGGTACATGGTGCCCAATCTCACGGAAGGCCTCGTCGAGGTCTGCAAGGCTGGCTTGCAAAATGAAGCGTTTGGGAAACATGCGGAGTACCCCGATGCTTGTGATACGAGTGTGGATATGTGCTAGAGGGATGTTCGTCCTAACGGGATAGAGGCTGCTAGCAGGGAGAGTTATGCTGGTAATGGTAACTAACCATGGCAGATTAGTTATAGTAGTATTGGTAATAACAAGGATCAACCACAGCAATCCTGCCAGAAATAGGGTACATGAGCCAGCTTTGTTTGTTGTCCAGCACAAGACATGCACCAGAAGCCCGCACTGAGTTGTAAGGACCGGCTTGATTCGTTTCGACTGCGCAGTGCTTGCATGGAAGGTGTTGCCAGATGATCCTGTGGATTACCTGGCGAACTACCTGGAGGAGCATGCCGCGACTTTGCAGAAACTCTGAGTCCTCCGTCGCCTCAGTCGCAGTGATTGATGCAAAGGGCATGGCAAAAGCGAAAATGCTTTTGGTGTCCATACTTTTTGCATCACGCAGGCAGCATGCACACGTGCATACGGAGTTTCTTTGCCAACCTGTGCGATCAGTGAGCTGAAGTTCCGGTTTCCGACTGTTTCCTGCAAGGCACAACTGGCGGCTCCGAAGCGATGAGAAAGGCTTCAGACGGTTCAGGCATGTAGGGTTTTCCGGTGTCGGGTTAAGCGTTCTTGGGTATTAGGGTGGGGTTGATGAGCAAGCACTTTGTAAGGAGTCGGGCAGGCCCTGGCGGCAGTTCAATGTTTTGCTTCGGTGGCACAACACATGTGCTTGGTGTCAGTAGCATCCCGCTGCTTGAAAGACTCAGCTCATGACTACCAGGGTTATATGGGGATTTCCGAAAATGGGGGACCCTAATATAGTACCCTAAATAGTAGGATCCTTATTATAAGGACCCCAAATAAGGTACCCCCTGGCAGCGAAAGACCCTTGAGGATTCGCGAGGACACCTCGAAGCTTGAGAGCCATTGTTTCCAGAGGTTTCACACATATGCCTCCGAAAGGCCAGGACATGTGAAAAGCAGACCGTAAAACTTTGATGAAACGAAATACATCGGATGCCATCCATTCTTCATGAGCTGTTCTTGATGGAGGATTCTACCAGATCCATGGCGCGAAATGGTTGCCAGCGGTAGCTAGGTTTCAGCGATCGTTCATTGTCTCACTGCCCGCATCACGGGTCGCATCAGCTGAAAGCACGCTCCGTGCTGGCAAAAGTGATTGCAGAATCACACTATCAATCTTCAGTTTCAGGTCGCCATGTGCAGATTCCGCTTCCTGAAATCCTGTATCAGGCATCGGCAGCGTGATGCCATCATTTTCGTAAAACACTGCTGCTGTGTTGTAGTAGCATTGTCAGGAACAGAAGTGGCTGAAGAATCTACTGCTGCGGTGTCCAGGAATCCTGCCATCCTAACACAACAATCTTTGGACGTGTAAGGTCTGCGTCGCCGATGGTGCTGGCCTCACATGTCTCACAGCACCAAGCCTGATGATGATAAGACCGCCGTAGTAAGCGCAAAGCGTGCAGAGAACTGCCGGGACTTGGCTGAGTCTCGGCTTGTACCTGCCGAAATGCTTGAAGGTGAACCGGGACAATGGCTGGTCAAGACTTGCTCTCATCTTGGGTCCTATGAGCTGCCCTTTTTCTCAAGACTCCAGGTATAACTCAGGGGCTGTAGCTGCAGCTGGTTCTGACAGACCATCATCCTTTCAGCAAAGCTTCTCGCCCAGCTTGGCTATCTTTAACTCCTGAATACAAGTGGTCCGAGTTCCACAGGTGCCTTTGAAACCTGTATGTGTACGGCCAAACAAGCTCCCCGACATGGTAGACGCAGATCTCAGGGCGAAGTTGATGCACGTCGCCTTGCCCGGAGCCAATCGCGGGGACTTTCAGAAATTCAGACCCTGCTGAACGTTGTTGGACTCAGCGTTTTAGCTTTCACCGGCATCATTGTGCTGGCACTTTTTTTCGCGTAGAGGCGCTGGGCCTTCCCTTGCTAGCTCTCAATGAAGCTACATAGATGCTTCCCTCGCTCAGGGCGCCCTGGTTCAAGAGCAGCCGGAGCTGGAACAGCTCCTGCGGACTGTTTGGGCAGAGGCCACCCAGATAAGGAGACTCGTCATGTGCAAGATGCCTTTGTAGAGGCAAACTTCGCAAGATTGCTATGACAAACGCTGTCAGGTGACATACATGTAGATTATTTGTGATATGCGGGATGTGGCTGTAGTCTAAATTTTGGAGGGAGTTTTTCAGACCTGCACACCCATGGCCATTGCTCGTGTGACTGTGAAGGTCGTTGGAAAGCACGGCTAGCTAGTCAAAAGCGGAGACTATAAAGTGCCGGTGTGTTACCACAACTGTGGCCGGCTGTTTTAATCAGGCCCTCTGTGAGGCGCTTGTGCTTTCGGATCCCCATGCGCAGGCCCATGGTGCAGATGGGAGCCAGGCCCGAATGTCATGGAGTTGAAAGGACTCCCGTGTGCTCCTGTGTGCATGTAAGTATATATCAAAGGAGGAGGTGAAGGGCAAGGACCGGGCTCTGGAGACCGATGCCATGATCGCGCGCATTCAGAAGTTGCGTGGCTTTCGGCATTGGTTTAAGGCACAGCATGGCTTGGGCAGCGTCGAAGTTAGTATCATAAGAACACCTTCAGGTCAAGAAACCCTGCCACTGCTGGCCAAGGATTCCCTGACAGCATGGCTGTCGCCCTACAAGGTCAAGTCTCTAAGTCAGACACGAAAACCATTGAAACAGTATGCCGAATCATAACCATGCTTTCTTCTGGTGCCCTATTAACCCTATTTTCCTAGCTACAGACCAAAAGATCTAAAGGCAGTTCTGCAATCTGAATTCGAAGACCGATGCAACCTGCATCGGTTCTTCGTGCTAGGTGCCGAGATCAACTCTGGTGGAAGCCACGATGCAGGCAGGCGGCTGTGGCGCAGTACCGCAGCTTCCTCCGATGGTTTCTGTTTGGCATGATTTGCTCCAACCGCACACAGAACGTGTTTGGCGACATGTCGTGGTACACGTATGTGCCCAATGTCAGGATCCACTAATGCTTCATGCCTTTGTCTGTGGCCCAGACAGATGCAGCGCCGTCTGGTGGAGCAGTTGTGTCATGTTGTGTCTGTGCCATGACGACTAAAAGGGCTGGTCCAACTAGTGGGGCGATCTCGGGATGCAAGTCTAATTACTTCTTTCGGCAGGAGGGGTTGACCTTCTGGAAGCGTTTGTAGCTCCTTCGTTTCAAAATGTGCATAAGGGTCGGCAAGCGCAGGGCCTGAAGGCAGCTACGCTGCTATGCCGGAGTTTCAGCTAGAAGGCTAGTAGCCGTTCATGAAGCCAGAAGCAGGTGCTTGCACGAGCCTGCATGAACTTCTCCGACGAGCTGTTTTGGACCCAAGATGGTCTGTCGATGCATTTGCATGAGTTCAATCATGAACAGTCTTGCAGCAAGACACACGCGACCGATCGTGCTTCGCAAGCCACCGAACCGGGCAAAAGAAAAAGCCACATTGTTACAGAGGGCTACCTTGAAAGCAGCCAGATGTATTTCGGTGAAGGCCACGGGCTTTTGCTAGAGACTGCAGACTCCGTTTTGTCGTGTGCCGTTTTACTCCCAACAAACCCTGGCACGGAGACAGAACCTGCTGGGGCTAAGCCGACACTGAACAGCATTCTCCGGTGAAAGCCCCTGCTTGTGGGGAACCTAGGTAGACGCATAGCTTGAAAAGTTCGGCCCTTTGCTTGCGCATGCTTGGATCGAACAAGCCAGCAAGTCGCGCAAACTGGCTTGATAAATGCAAGCTTTTCTTGGCTATAGGCTGCGGTAACCTCGCGTGCTGACGCAGGTCCATGGAACTCTCCTTTGCCGGGCCTTCGCTGGAGTCGACACGCCGAGAAGCTCTCCGCCACCCTGCGAGCAGACAGCTGGTCGAATTGAAGCGTCGCTGAAGGGGTTCGCACCCTCGACGGATCTCGCATCCGTGAGAAGCGAGGCTTTACCTAAGAGCTTTACCTAAAGGTTCTTAACTAACATTGACGGAGAAGAGCTGTACGCACCAGCGCACCAGCCTGGACGGAGCTCACACTCGACTTCTCCATCAACCGCTCCACGTCCTTTTGCAAACTCAGGCCGTCGGCTGCGACCCGCGATTTTGGTGCTGGTTTCCTGGAGTCTTCTGGCGCTCGCGATTTGGTCGGCCACCCAGGCCTGCAAAACGACTCTGAAGGGCTAGCTCGTCGCGGCTGATCTTGCTTGGTGCATAATTGCCTGCATTGCGAGTATCCTGACTATCACGATGTTCGTATTGTGGGCTGCATGTCAAGATCGCCAAAGAAGCCTCGCTTGTGAGCATAGATCTCAGCCATGCGAGAGGGGAAAAAACGACTCTGAGCCAAAAACCTCAAGCCTACCACGTGAGACCTCGTTCGGCATAATGATGCTGTGGCAGGAACCAAGTTTCGAGAATGACGAGTTTCCCCACTCGACGCCCTACGACTCTTACAACCTCACCTTCGCGACGGTACCTGGCCTTGCGAAATCATGTCTCGGAATCAGAAATGCTCGGCTTCCAGCTCAACTGCTGCATACTGTTGAAAAGTCATGCATGGATTTTGTGTCATTTGCCGAAGATGTTGAATATTCCTAGCCGCTAGCCGCTAGCCCTCAGGACAGAGAGCCCAAGACAAACTTTGAACTGCACCTGTTATAGACGTTCTCTGACGAAATTCTGAAGAGGGAAGCCCTTAGGTGATGCTGCAGATCGTTGCGGCTTCGGCTGGTGTAGTGCTCATGCACGCCCGGACCGACTGCCTTTTCCACCTTGGGACAATTTTGTACCTGTGCCTGTCTGGTATTGTAGGAACTTGTAGTGATTGTAGTGGTCAGTTAGAACATGTTGTGGAAAAAGGAGGTGCATTATCATTGGAATCAGTGAAGGCTCGTTATGTGGATCAGCGAAGCTGCCCTGGTTGTCCAGTACATCTTGCAGTTCCTTCGTATCAAAGACTATGGCCTGACGGTGGCGATATCGCTGGGTTGCCTGCATGGCGTAGGCTTCGGTCATCAGAAGACGTTTATCTTCAATTGCATGTCGGACATTGAGCTTGTTCTGGCCATAGATCTGGGCACACGGAAAGCTGCCCGCATGCTGTTGGTAGACGCAGTGCTCTCAATTCTCGCTGTTACAGCAGCTGCGGCCCAACGACTCAGGGCAGATATGGGTTTGCACTGGCCCAACTCGGTTCGAATACTGTCGAGCATGGTTTGTTGGGCATTTCTGATTACCAGCACCATTTTTGCTTCCCAATCTTTCGACGTGATGGGCCGTGTGCTCCGGCTGGCAGAGAACACAACTGCTCATTTAGCACAGGAAGCCAAATCACGCAGTCAGCTATGGTTTCAAAATGGTGACCCGGAGATTCAGGCTACCTTTCACAAATTGCGGAAGCACAGGCGCCACGTTTTGACCTTGTCTGTGAGTAGGCTGCTGGTTTTCGGTCACATCATGCTCTTCGGTGGCTTCCTGTGGCCACTTCCTGCGGACTTGAGTGCACAGGTAACCGACAGCTTGGGCGGGGGATTTGCTGGATATTTGATGACAGACTCGGTGTTTATTACGACTCTGTACTACCTCTACCTGATCGTCATCATCTGGTATGTATATGGAGGTTTGTCGTCTCTTGTGGGCATCCATGCACGATTCCAAGAGGAGCTTTGGAGGCAATTGTCGGAAAGTTTCTACTCTCGCTTCCTACTTTCGCCTGTCGGGAGCACACTCCGAGAATCTATCTGCATCGCCTTAAGCTAATGCTTCGTATAAGGCTATAAGGCAAACGAACGAATGTGCCAAAATTGCAGTAGCCGAGGAGGAGCTGCGCTTGGCGAAGCGTGCCCACCAGCAAGCAAGATTTTCTTCCTCAAGCGATCCGAGATGGCAGGCTCGCAGACACATGTGTACGCGATGAAGGCTCTGTCCGCGCAGGAAGCACAGACTTTCTCCAAAGCAGCATGAAGCATGATCTGGCCCATGCGGGCCATAAGTCGATCTGCTGATGGCGGCACTTTTATATCAAGAAGGAACTATAATATAGCTTCACAATCGCAAAGTCACATCGCTTGCGGCGTCAACTCAAGTTGCAAGCAGTCCGAGTCGAGGATCAGGATTTCGCAGGCCTCAAGACCTCCATTCCATCGTCGGATATCCTCGGCATGTCAGCCCTAAGCATTTGAGTTCCTGCTCTCCCAGCTATGCCATGATATGACAGGCTCAAGTCCAAGATCTGGCCTGCCGTGCGCAGCTCGAAGCGGATTTCAGGAAGTAGGGCTTGTGCAGCCTGAGCAAACTACTATTTTTAACCCTTTGCAGTTGGTTTCGTGCTTCCTTGATCGTTGGGGAGGGTGACAGTTCCTTTTTGTGACAGCCTTAGGCTGGCATTTGATGTAGCGTTTCCGTAGTCCTGGTGTTGTGATGCCCCACAAGTGATGGAGACCTTGAAAACGAAAGTGACAGTCAACTGTCTGGAGAGGGAATGAAGCGGGAACTCTAGTTGTCAGCTGGTTGCAGGCATCTGGTCCAGCGATCAGCTTGAGAGATTGTGAGAGGAGGATCGTTGCTTTTGACTACCTCTGAAGTCCGAGGATTACCGTGGAGGTGCTGCTGGACTTCTACCATGGCCTGGGGCGAGACTACATGCGGGGCTTCAACCCTGACAGGCCTGCAACTCCAGGGACCGGAGTTTGGTGATCAAACTCAAGACAGAGGGTTTCGAAATTGGTGCTGTGTTAATTGCCGACAGGCACACGACCAGTGATGTGGTGCGGCAGGCCATCATTCCCCTGAGTGCAACTGGGTCCGACACTGGAACAGATAGACGAAGGTTCCAAACTCGCACGGATGCGAACTGCGGCTCGAGGGCATTGACTCGACAAAGCTTTGACAAGCTTCTAGATTCTAGAATCTAGAGTCAGGCCCGAGCGCATTGAGGAGGGCTCAGACATCGTGCTGGGGCAGAGTTCCCGGCCCAGACATACCTCAATTTAGTCTTAGAATTATTCTGCTTCGCGGTTGTTGTTATGGCTGTTCAAGCATGCACGTACCGTACTACTTGCGTGGGGGTTCTTGAAACCCAGCAGCAAAGGCAAGCGCCGGATCCGACATGGCAAGTATCTTGATGCAAGGCGGCCATCTATGCATAGACGTTCCGGGCATCTTGTAAACGGTCTAACCGTCTATTCCAGGCTTTAGCAAGATTCCGTGCCGCATTCGGGTATCAGCCTTGGCGATCCTGCAGCACGGAGCCACCTTGAAGACTCTCGCCGCTTGACTCGCCCATTTCGCCATGCTCCCTCAACGTCCCAGGAAGAGCATCATACACCAGAGTAATTGATTCTGAGTCGCCTCGAAATATAGACGAAATATATGGCATGCGGCTGCTTGCAATAATCGGTAGACTACAGGTCCAGGTTCGAGGTTCCGGGATGGGTCGGGCTTGGTTTTTGCACTGAGCTGTGAGAGCTTGCGCAATACCACATGTATGTCCACAGTGGACACCTTTGTAGCTGGGCTTTTTCTGCAGCAAATGCTGCCACGTTGCCAGCTTTGCCACGCTGTACAGTAAATCATAGACAATCCATGTTGAGTTTTCAGGCTGCGCACTACCTAATGCTATGGCAGCTGCGTAGACCGCCAGCGGACCCCGAGGTTGTCCTCTGACTCTGCTAGAGGTGCACTACTACAATACGGGATCTGTTGTAAAACTTTTTCAAGCCTTACCGAAGCCATCCCTTGCAACTTAGAAAAGATGCCTTGGGACGCTATGGTAAGTCTTGCCACGACCAGGCCAGCGAATGCTACCCGAGGCTATGGTCTCCCACACATGGTGTCCAGGAGTCTTTCAGAGCCGACTTTGTTTTTCTTGGGTTCTGCTGGCTCTCAGATAGCACTGTAGGAGACACGGACCAATATAGTAAAGGCTCAGTACGAACCAGAGATTTGTCAATTCTACATTAAAGCTTGGAAGTTCTGCCCCCGTATACCTGTGGTTGACGGTCGTTACTCGCAATGTCAACTTGTCCGTGAGGGAATGATCATAATAAGCTCGCCGGCCCATCTCCCACTGCAGCCAGATGTAGATGTTGGTGCATGGGCATGTGATGGTGACCACTCTTGTGATGAGAAGCTGGCTAAACAAATAGGCATTTTTCCTCTATAGAATTTATAAAAAGTTCCCAAGTTCCCAACCCGAGGCGAGGCCGCTTCCGGGACTTGGTCGCGGCAGTTGTGGCTGACGGTCTCGGGGAGTATCCCGGACGGCTTGCGGGGTGCCTGGGTTTAGGGTTTAGGGCTGGAGTGCGAAGCCTGTTGCAAAAAGGGCTGGAGTTTGTTACTTCCCGGATGCAATAGTCTGGAAGTGCTGCTTCCCAGCTTGTTTGCAGGGTTCAAAACAAGGGCTGCTGGACAACGAGGGCTGTTGCAAAAAAGGGTCTGCTAATAGGGGAGTGGTCGGGTTGGCAGAGTGTGATTGCCTGCAGCTTGCGGCACAACTGGTACTGGGTTCAACGGAGGCTGTGATACCCTGATTACGTTTCGACAACTGGATGGAGGGTGACAAAACGCGTTCGCTCTTTTTTGTCATTTATGACTCTCTCTTTCTCTCTCTCTTGCTCTCTCTCTTTGCGCTTGGCCTTCTCGCAGCCTTCGTTGTTGGTCAAGCTGGCTACGGCGTGTTGATGCAGCACAATTCCATCTAGTCCTCACCGGTTCCATTGCTCACTGCTTGGCCTTGCGTTTGCCCACGCGTTGATGTGCCTGTGATGGTTAATTACTTCCATGACCTCACCGGTAGCCTGGGGGATGCCGCACAGGTTACAGCTCAGACCGACCCGAGGCAAGAGTATGGCCGCATTGGCAATCTTCTGGACACCGACGTGGATCTGATAAAGCACTGGATCTCCAGGGGCTGTGGACTTCAACGTGCTTCCGGACGTGTGTGTTCAGCTGTGATGTTGGTTTTGTAGTGATTGTAGTGGTCCTGAGTCGCGGAACATCTCCTGTGTTGATTCTGCATGCCTGGAGGGACGTATTGGATCTGCGCCTTCTGCGTGAATCAGCACAAGAGCATCTGCTCACCGATGGTTCCGCAGACAGATTCCGTCACAGGCCCGGCTGGGCACCAAGGGTTTTCAGCGCGAACTTCCTAAGCAAAAGTGCGATTCCTGAAACGAACGGTGCAACCAGGATGTTCTGATGAGCACCGAGACTTAAGCTGCGCAATAGGTGTTTGAGAAAGCTAACGGATGTACATGCACCTTCTGCAGATACTCCCGTTTGCCACACTTGTGCAACGCAAGGCGCGCTAGTTCCACCATGTGGCTGCGGGTATCCGAAGTTCCTGAACACGGACGCACCGTGTAGAGAGGATGGTGCCAGCATACCATGCGAAATGAAGCTCTGCCCTATTCAGTAATCTGTATATCAAATTCTGGGGTGTGTGTGTGTATATATATATATGTATGTATATGTATGTGACTGTATGTGTGTAAAAATATAATAATAGTAATAACAATAATAATAGTATCATTATTAATGGTAATAATAAGATGTATACATATATATCGGTGTGGTCCGAAGTTTGTCAATGGTGCTCTCCAACTCTTTGCTCTCAAGTAGTCTCGAAAGCCTGCCAGGTCCTCAAATGACTTCTCAACACTCGTGCCCCCAAAACCATGAGGGGTCCCATTGTTTTAATTTGGATTGGAGGGGAGATCAAAAACACTCAGAGCTTCAAACAAACCAGGCAATTCCAGTATTCTGGAAGCTTCCGGATAGGATTAATGTTTCTGTTTGGCAGGGTTTTGGTGCCGAACAGGAAACATGGACAAGAGGCGACGCGGGCATTCAAAGGGAATACACATCGGCGCAGCTCAAGAGTTTAGAAAGCCTAGCTTTTTGAAGGGCCTCAGATTTTTCAAAAAGCTTGGCTGCGGAAGGCAGCCTCTGCCTCTGCCGAAAGGTAAGGCTTGCTTCGGAAAGCAGCCTTGCTTCTTTTTGCAGCAAGCAAGCAAAAAGCAAAGACTGCAGCAGCAGCCGGGCCCGGCCCGGAGGCTGGCCAGAAATGTGGTCCCTTTCTTATAAATCTGGTTCGGGCTGCTGCCCGGTAGGCCCCGCAAGGGGTAGCTCAGGAAGGAATGCAAAATTGTTTCTTTAAGCCTAGTTTTCTGAAAGGCTTCAGATTATGGAAAAAACTTGGCTTCGGAAGGCAGCCTCTGCCTTTGCCGAAAGGTAAAGCCTGCTTCGGAAAGCAGCCGTGCTTCTTCATTGAAGCAGCAGGCAATTTTTTGAAGCTCCCCGAAATATGTTGTTTGAATGTGGTCCCCTTTCACCACACGACATCCTGCTGCAATTGAAAGTAGTCTTCCAGACCCAAACCCGGCCGAAATAATTGTCTAATGTGGGAGATTCTTTTAACCAGATCCTCGGATTAGGAAACATCGCTCTGAAGAGTGTCGTCCACGATGCAGATGCAAGGGAACGAACGGGTCCTGGGGTGAAGCCGAAGGCATGGCCGCAACCACAGTAACCGGTCCATGGCCACATACATGTAGATGAATCAGGTATATGCGGAATAGTTCATCTTGTTTGTCATTTAACTTCTCCCACTAACCGCGATTTGTTGGAACAGGTAGTGGTGTTCGACATAGTTGTGAAATGCAACAGGGCAGGCCTCTGAGGCAGGGCAGCACATATCTAATCATTTAGCTTGGATTGTCCCGAAGCTCGTACTGTAGTGCAGCTTGGCGGCATTTCTTTGAAGGCAGGCTTTTCGCTCTTGGTCCGGAGAAGTGCCGGTTGAGATCCGCCTGGCTCAGGAACAAGTTCGGGGACATGATGGCTTGGCTAGCCGCCAAGGACGGAACCGCTTTGTTGTGTGCATTTGGCCTTATTTGCTGCACAGTGCAACACGGATTTTGAAGAGCTATGTTGATCCCTTGGCGGCTGGCCAAGTCCCGCTTGAAGGACAGCTCCTTCACACACGTTCTGGCCCTGGATCTGGATCTGGACCTGTTGCAGAGGGCTTGGTGTGTGGCAGAGGCACGCCTTTGGACGGCTTCGGCAGCAAGCCTTCGCTAGAACAACAGCTCGCATGAGGCAGCAGTCGAAGCCATGAGAGCTGAGCAGTTGTGGCCTGTGTCCGAAAAAGAGGCCGCGGAGTCGTACATCATGGGCATGTCCCAGTACATGAAGGTCAGCAGCCTGTCGAACATAAGCACCCTGAGCTGCAATAGGACTCGATTTTGCAAGTTTGTCGAGCCCGAGTATACGTTCAAGCTTTATGCTTAACGAGCACCGGGAGCATCGGGGCACGGTATTTTCACCTTCTGCAACCCGAGCGTATGCAAGGCTGCACACCATTTTATTGATAGGCTGGTTTGTTTGGCACGCGGTTCGCGAGCTCTTGCCTCAATGGGTTCGAAGGACGGAAATGGGCCAAAGTGAAGAAGCTGCGCGTCGAGGACATGTCGGCTTCCAGGCATTCTCCACCATCCGTCACCTTGTGCAAGCTTATGACGCGAACAGAACTAGACTGGTTTAGATTTTGCCTGGAGGCCGGAGGATGTCGCTGAAATCTTGCAACTCTGGCTGCAGAGAGCTCGACAGCCGCAACTAGGAGCATCCTATGCTGTACCAGTCACACGGAATGAATTTCCAAACGTTGTCTCTGAAAGCACGATCAACTGTGAGAAACATTGCTGCCAGCGCAAAGGTCCACTTAAGGAACACTCCAGCTGCCATTAATGATGTGATGTCATGCACCGTGCAATGCTTTGTCCCGTGCAGTTTGCGTGACGTCGCCGCGGCGCCGCAGGCAGCGTATTCCCAACAAGGAGGAATTCAATACACAGATCCAGAAGCTGTTCGAGCCGTGCCTGCACACCATCCTTTCCCAACTAAACCTACAATCATGGTACGGAAGTTCGGCATCCCGGCTCAGCTGAGGATCGGCTCTTCGGACAGTTCTGGCACCTACCGCCGTCCGAGAGAGTGCGCGTTATGTGCCGTGAGCTGCGATGGAGGATCTTCTGCCTAATGCTTCTGTGTGAGTTTGTCTCAGCGTTTGCCCGCCTTCTCTCATGAGAGATGTAGGGAGCCTCGAACCTACAGTACCAGCAGTCCCTCTGCTTGCTAGACAGAACTACGTCTTGACCAGGAAACAAGCAAACGACTAAACACAACCCCCAGTCCGACAGAGGTGACAAACCATGCATCGCAAAATGCACCTCGCGCCTGCGAGGATGAACATGGTCGAGGCAATGTCAGAGGAAGCTGCAAGCCCAATTTCATCCGGGAGTCAGAACAAGGGCGCGAAGTCCCCGCTGCCTCCCCTCGAATCAGAGGCTTTCTGACTGGCGATCTAGTGAAGTAACAACTGTTACAGACAAGTCCGTGCTAAGCGATGATTGTCCATGTTTTGTTTGGGTAGGTATTGTGCCTCCTTCTGTGGGCTTTGTTGTTGTGCGGCATACTTCATGGCAGGCTACTTTTCGTTCACCACGACACATCGAACAGTTTGATTGCGTCGTCGGCTAAACAGTATGGACTGCCATTGTATTCGTAGTTGTGAAGCCATTTCGGCTTGGATGCTGCGTAGCACTGGTTTTGAATGGGGGCATCGGGATGTGAAGTTTCTTTCGGGCCCGTTGTTGAGTTGTGGAGGAGGCTTGTAGGCACTTGTTCGGCTTTCCTTGGAAGTGCTGCACAGCGCAAAACCCACCCAACTTTTTGTAAACGGCGACATTTGTGTGAGGCATCAGCTCATATCAGATGGAACACTAGCAGTTAATCGCTAGCAACTGTGGGACTCTAGATGGGAGGATGCTTCTCCATTTTGATACACTCTCACGTACTCGGGCTTCTCTATCGAGAAGTCCCGATCATGAGCGTCGTCACCGTCGTGGCTTCTCGCCAAAGGGGCTTTGGAAGCCACGCGCTGGCACTTTCTATTTTGCACCCGAAGGGTCATTTTTCATTATCTCCGGGGATACAAATTCCTCCACACTGCTCTGCAGATCTTTGCAGCCTTGGAGAAGGCGGCCGCCGATACAGCTGACGTACTGCTTCAGTGGTGCTTGAAGAAAGCTCAAGTGTTTTTGTTGCAAAATCTGGAGAGCATTGCATTCTGTTAGGAATGCATCAGATCATCTTGGCTGCCGCGGGCCTGTAGGATTGCTGCAGCTGCGACCGAATTACGACAAAAAAGGCCGAGGTCGCAAGCACCGTGCAAACCTGAGAGACGGGTTGAAAGAGCGGTTTCTGAGATCTTTCCAGCACCCAACGGCATTGTGGGGGCCGGTGGGAATACGCGGGATCGAGATGTCAGGTTGAAAAACCGTCGCAGACTTGGAGGGCGAAGAACCTACCTTTGTAAAAGCCACCGGTAACAAGTCATCAAAAGATAGCTGGGTGTCACAACCGCAATGGGCAGTGCTTTGCATGGCGGCACACTCAACTCGCAGCGCCTAGAATCTTGCCTAGAACTTTGCGAAACATCATTGTCGTGTCTTTCCCCCGAACCCAAATCAAGAGCCGTAGTCCCCGTGTAACGTCAGCGGTGCTCCACGTTTCCGATCGACATCGGCTATCATTGGTGGCGCAAGGGTGCAGGAAGCCCACTGCATCCCACGACGTTGCAGCTCCATGTATATAGAAGCAGACAGCATCTAAGTTGGAGTTGTTTTTCTGATGGCAGGTGCGTCAAAGAGTTGACCTGTGGACCTATGTCCTACAGTACTCCGGTAGCTACTACAATACTTTAGAAGTGACCTTCATGAGGCATCATAGTAGGAGTAATCATGAGTAATCATACTGCCTTTCGCTTTCCTGCTTATTGCAGCATGGCCTTCCCTCGGAGAGTCGCTTTGGCCATACTTCCGCTGCTCACACTGGCAGGGGGCAACTGCATCTCGGCCCTCGGAGTAGCAGGTTTAACTCTTGACACCAGGTCACGGATAGTCAGCAGATGCAGCCTCCATTCCAGGCGGATGTTTGCTTGGTGTGGGCATCTTAAGATTCGAATCGGAAAGACTTCTGGGAATCGAACAAGTTGCGTTAAGGATACTGAAGCTCAACAACCTCGCCAATACTGACTGAGCCCCTGTTTTTCGTCAGTCGTTCTTTATGCTCCCAGGCGTGCAAGGAGAGTGGGACACGGTGGGCGGTGGTCCATGTGACTCAGAGGCATGCCCGCGGCTTTCCGGCTTGCGCTCCCTCTTCGGGTCGCTGAAGCTAGACCTTCTGAAGCGCTGTGTTATCGGACTTGTCGTAAATCCGGTATTGACCCCGAGGGGCGAGCCCTGGAGCGTAAACACGAGCCCTGTGCTGTAATTTGGCCCCAGGGAGCTCATGGCGGTCAGTTCATTGTGCCCTTTCTGCTGCAGCGGAAGTCGAGCCGGACATCTGAGCGCCCTGTCTGAAAGGGACTCCCCAACGGCACTGTAAGTATCGGGATGGTTGGCCGCAACCACGATATCGCCTAAAGTAGGGTGCATGACGACGGGCGTCTGCAATTCTGTGACGATGGACCATGAGCTGAGCAGAAGATCTACATATTCCTACTGAAGTAAAGGCCTCCAGACGTGCAGCATGTGATAGCATGTGGCTGCTCAAATATCATGAGCCCCAAGAAGCGGAAGATCCGAAGTCAGGAGCGTTGTGGCCCAGCTGGAGCGAGCTTCCAGCCGGGACCAGCTGGTGGGAACCCCGAAGTGACTGAAATTCTCGGCCTTTTTTTGGTCTAAAGCAAATAGACTTGCATATAACGGAGGTTCATTCGGACAAGTTCTTTGAGCTTCGAGAGTATGTTGGCTCTGGAATGTTGGGTTGAGTTCACAGGGATTTTGCAACTTGCGCTTGTGTGAGCGTTTGGGGGCTGTGATTTTGCTGGGCCACTAGCCTGGAAGGGAGAGCAGTTCCTCCTCTGCCTCGCAACATGCTCAAGTCTTGTCAGTCTTGCGAAGCCAACCTGCAGCTGCATGAATCTGAATATTGTTGGGAGAGGCAATGCCAACCCTCGTGGTCGAGAATTTGCTTGCACCAGGTTGATAACCTGTAGATGCAGATCCCCTAAGAAGATTCTCAAAAAAGGCAGTGCAGCAGCAGATCCCAGTGCAACACACACTCCACGTGACGTCTTTTTCGGCGTTGTTGATTGATGAAGCCATTGCTCACGTGCTTGACGACAGTGCCAGTGAGCATGTCGTTCGTGTTCTGCCTGCGTCCGCACAAAAGAAGCCGTGAGCTAAACCCCTTTCCACCATGCTAATTGCTACGTCACAAACAGACACGGGTCCTGCAGATGCTCAGCCACCCCTCCATTCCCCGCGCTCTGACACTCCACCTGCGTTGCCCTTGGAGCAGGTCCACGGAGGAGGGCCGAGGTTAAAACCCAAGAGCTGCAGCACCTGGGACGGTGATTTCGGTGCTTATGTTGATGCCATCTCTGGGCACAAGCTCGCGAATCCAGGGTTGAATCTCACCAGGCAGGTTGCACAGTTCAGGACTGTAGTTTGGATACCACCGCTGCATTGAAGAAAGGTGGTCGGAATCAGCAGGCATGCAAGAGCCCAAAAGCTCATAGGTACTTCTCTACATTAGGATCCCTTTTTTTGTAAGGGTGCCGTACTATCTTGGGGACCCAAAAAGGGACCCTAATTTAGAGAACTCCCCTCATTGAGTTCGGAGCCATCCAAACAGCCCAGCGGTAGTTCCTTCGACCTAAACATCTATGTCTCACCTCGTGGAAATGGTCGCATTCTCAAGCTTCCAACATAAGCTGAGGTAATTCGATTGAGCTCCCGCGGTCCAGCGACGAAGTGGAGCTCCGCACCTGAGCTCGGTTTGGCAGAAGTTCCAACTTACAGAACGAGACTCAAGGCTGTTAGGGATGTGCTTTCTTGCTTGTTTGAAACGCCTTCTAGACAGCTATAGTTTGGTGAGATCCTGACCTCCGGAGGCAGCTCCGGTTTCATGTCGAAAGTGATCGTGTGGAACCACTGCAACACCCGTTCAGCAGTTGTTCTTCGCACAATACCTGGATAGTGCAGCCAGAGCCGACTGTACGATCATGGGAGTAGCTAACGTGATCTCGAAAAGGATTCGGTTCTGACGCCGTACCAGAATTATTGGCAGCTTCCTGTACCCACTCACAGCACCGTCAAATTTGAGTACGGTACATCCTTCTTCATGCTCGTGCGCATGGCCTGGGACTGTAAGACTTTGAGCATTTTGCATGCAGTTGTGGCTATGTCCCGTGCCGAAAACCAAAGCTGACGAAGAAATGCAGAGGGATTGTGTGGCGAAGTTGCTGATGATAACTCCTTGATGGTGCTTGTGGTGATGTTGCTCGTCTACGCGATGCTGATGTTCAGCCGTCAGTTTGAGGAAGGTTGCGTCCGGATGCGCTATCGGGAGGTGTGGTTGCAGCTCAGTCTGACGTTGTCAATGTGATGTCCGGTTTTGGCAAGTGAAATGATGTGTCGTGAAGCGTATCGAAGCCGACGACGACGTGGCTCAATTGTTTCAGTGGCTGCCGTGATGCCTGAGGCAACATTCGCTGGCTTCATTTTCCAAAAGCCGGCACCAGCTTCGCAGCAACGCTGTGGAATTATGCGACTTGAACAGGAAGCTATGGACGTTTTGCTTGAGTCGGAAGTTCAGGTGCAAGCTTGGTCAGGAGGGTTCAGGCCTTTCGACCTTTACGCTGCTACCAGTGGGGGATCCATGCCACAATTCTGGTAAGATCAGGTTCCAGTTGTTGTCTGCACGAGTATCCACGCTGGCAACCGTAGCACTGTCCGGTTCCAACAGGCGTTTGGACATGTTTCCACTACACACACTTGCGGGTACCTTAAGCACTACGACTGCGAAACGACAGAGTGTCCAGGCCAGCAACCTCAAGAACACCCGGTTCCACGCGAGTTGTCATCGTGACTTCGTCCTGCTTCTGCATCCCCGTAGTTGCATCACAATCCAACCTCACAGTCGGCACCAACGTCGCAATCATGTTCATCGCAATCGCGGCCTACGATATTAAACATCTTCAAGTTCATACACAACCATCATTGGTGTCATCGCAGTCTTCGAAACTGGCGGTGTTTACAGACTTACAGATGCGGCATCGGATCATGCACGCCAAGCCGCAGTACGCGAGGCGTGTGGCCAGGAAGCTCCTTTGGACCTCTCAGTGAGCCCACTGGCCTCTCCGGACTGCCAGGCACTTCAGCTTCGCGCAGGGCTAATCATGCTTCATGGGCATGTCGTGATGCCCTTTCCGTTTTCAGTTGGACTGCAGTCTTACATAGCAGCTTCTGCCCTCAGAAGGTACGTACTTCAGGGCACGGTGTTGCGG